CATTATGTGAAAACATGTTAAATTCATTTTCAAACCAAACCAAATCAAGTAATCATCTCTATATTATTTTCTACATCATTTTGTATTCCTCCAACACTTAAAATAAATTTTTTAGAGGGAAACAAATTAAAAACAACAATATTAAATAGGGTACTTCTCAAAATTCAATTATGATTAAAAAAAATTAATATAAAAATTTAAATTTGGCTAAACATAAAGTGTCCCGTAATTTAACATGATGTGTTTGCTCTAGAGCATATGCCACAAACCTTCGCAGAAATCTCTGCTATCGCAACTCTACCTCGACACTAAAGAACTATTAACAAGATGGTGGTAAGTTTGCGTGTGTCTCAAGACATAGAATTTTGACCCAAGAAAGAGAAACCTATAACTGTAAAAATAGCTTTTAAGACAAGGAAATGAAGGCTTGAGCAGTTCTAGCAACTTTGATGAAGACATCTTCGAGAGTTGTGTCCGCGAGTCCCCAGGCAAAGACTGTGAAGGATGATTTGGCCTTTTCAACAGCGCGAAACACCTCAGCAATCCGAACCTCTTGCTTTGGGAGCTCGAATTTCTGAGTACCAGCAAGGTGATATATCTTCTTGGCGTTGGGAGAGATAGATTCAACCAATCTCTCTACCTCTTCCTCATGATTTGAAGATGTTGTCATCGTGAAGACATATGATCCACCGTATCTGCTCTTCAGTTCCTTAGAGTTTCCTATGCATTGCAAGCCTCCGTCTACAAAAATTCCCAATCTATCGCATAGAAATTCGGCTTCTTCCATCGAGTGAGCTGAAAATATTGTCTTAACGTTAATATTAAGTATAATTTAGGAGGCAAATAATATTCCATAAGTTGAGAAACTAATATATGTATACTTGTGAGAATTATTGCTGTGTTTTGTTTTGCACGCTTGATCACATTCCATAAATTCTTCCTCGAGGCTGGATCAAGTCCTGTGCTTGGCTCATCTAAATAAACCACCTATTTTCGAGAGACCTTGAGTTTGTTAATAATTAACTTTAGAGAGACATAATCACTCAACTAACAAGAATGTACGTACCTTGGGGTTCCCGATAAGCGATATGGCCACGCTAAGCCTCCTTTTCATACCTCCACTGTAATTACCAGCAGGTTTGTCGCCAACTCCTCCATCGAATAGGCTGACACTTTTGAGAGATTCTACAACAGCCTTAAAATGATCATATATATATCCATGAATTATCATTGTCTTCAAGAATATATAACAACACATATAAAACAAAATAAAATTAGCAAGGTGATAAACATATATACTTGTGTTAGATCAGAGCCCTTGATATTTTTAAGTCGACCGTAAAAGAGAAGATGTTCCCTTCCTGTTAGCGTCTCCCAAAGCAAGCTGAAACCAAGAGAATAGTCTCAAAAAAAGTGTTCATTATTTGGGTGGTAGTAAAAAAAAAAATCCAAAAATCATTTTGAGGATTTACTCATGCTGCGGGCATACGCCCATGCTTGTGTATACTTTGTTCATATCCTTGCATATGTCCAAACCCTGAACCAAGGCTGTTCCAGATGACGGTTTGAGGAGCCCTGTCATCTAGCGCAGCAAAGAAAATACAGCTAGATATATTACCAAATTTGACACTCTGAAACTTGTGTTTGCAAAACTGACCATACTAATGAAGACTAACCATACTGATGAAGGAAGTTTTGCCGGCACCATTAGGTCCAAGCATGCCGAAGCATTCTCCTGAAGGAACGCTGAGATACAACCCTCGTACTGCCATTTTTGGCGGGTTACCATCTCTACCTGGATAAACCTTTTTCAGGTTGTCACACAAGATCGCATGCCCTGTGCTACCTTCATTCCTCAATTTTTGAACCTTTTCCCTCTGATTATTATTATTATTATTCTTTGTTATCAGGAGGGCTTTGAAATATGAGAAAAATTAATGGAACGGCAAAAAAAAAAAAAAAAAAAAAAAAAGACTTGACTTCTTCCATACCTCCTCAGTGATATCAAGTTTTTCTATATCTATGGAGACTTTTTTAGAATCCACCCTTTGCACAGTAGGCCTCCTTGGTAGGGAAGAAGGTTTCTTGAAAGGGTTCACCAAGAAAAAGAAAGGATGCTTTCCGGATGTGAAAACCTGATCGATATAGTAGGCTACAATGAGAGCAAGAAACCACTCTATTGACATGATACAGAAAACTTCACCCATTCCGCTATCACTGAGATCTTGCCACTTCATCCCGTTTCCCCGGGAGGCATATTGCGAGAACTCATACAACCCGCGGTACAGAGAAAAGCCGGGATACAACTCCATGGCAAGAATCCATTCTTCTGCAAACGTACATACATTGTATAGTAAATAAACATGAGCATTTGTTTTTTTTTTTCTTTTGTCAGGTTGTTGACTAAATTACCCGGGAATGACTGATTTTCAATCATTTTTTGGAAAAGAAAGCTACCCAAGAGCCCAGTTCCGTACACCAATATGTAAGCAACGACTACAATTAAGCCATAAAACAGAGAAAGCCATTCAAATTTCAACTCTGACATGTTCTTGAGCAGTGGAATTCAAGAAATACGTGATGTAGTATACCTGTTACAGTCTTAACCTTTGAGAATATCGAAGAGACTAGAAAGGCGAGGGAGATTTGTAGATTTAAGTAGATAAAATAGAAAACGAACTGGATGCTGTAGTCATTGAGCCGGAAGTACTTGAGTCCTATAGCAGACCCGAAGCTCACCAAAGAAATAACATACAACATAGATATGGTGAGAAAATAGGCATATGAAATCATCCAATATGGACCATCGCCTAGCCCGTGCATTTTCATTATAATTCTTAGACGTTCTTGCTTCTCATACACCAATGATGTCAAGATCACCTGCATGCAAGATTTATATATATCTTATTTATTATACATACAATATAATGGGATGAATATTAAGTAGCATGTAAGAGAACTTACGGGGAACAAAAGAAGAACAACCCAAGTGAAGAAAAGTGGGCCTAGCAAGGACGCAATGTCTTGATTCATTTTCGTTTCTTTTTTAGGAACTTCTTTGAGAAACTCAAATAATATCCTTGTCCCAAGGCCTTTTAGAAACTTAAGATAAGCATTTGATATCTGCATACAGGAGAGATATATGAAATCGCATGTGAAATTCAACGATTTCTTGAGAGTACATGATCACCGTATATATATATATATATATATATATATATATATATATATATATATATTTGGTGTAATATTTGTTACCAGATTGATAGAGCGGGGAACTCGGACCAGCTTTAAAGGCTGACCAGTTGAAAACTCATCATTGTAGGTTGAGTTATACCATATGGTCACATTGAAATTTTTCCTATCCGTGCTCATGAGATCGTATGCTAAGGCAACAAAAAAAGGCAGACATAATATAAATGCCAGAATAATTTAACCACCAAGGATATATAAATGGCAGTTTTTTACAAACCTGCAACGATCTCATTTGTCATCCCCGCAGGGTTTCCCCTCCAACTACCCTTGAAAAGCTCATCATTGACCTCTACAGAGTTATTTCTCCAGAGACACAACCCTTGAACACACTTCACCGCTGAGATAGTTAATTAATAACAAACAATCATCAAAAAATTTTATAAATAAAAAACGCATGCATTTCTCACGTCTAGAGCCATGTCAAAACTACATGTCTGAGAGGATGTATGAGCCTATGCCTAGAATTCACAAAAAAAAAAAAAAAAAAAAAAAAATCTACCTGTCTGAATTTGTCCGAGCGAGAGTGGCCATGTAGAGTTTGCACTGCAAGAAGGTTGGATACTGTAAATAGGGAGATCTGAGGCAATCCCCGGGTCTTCATAATTGTCTTCCCCCGCTGCTTCTGTTGAACCCTGAAAGTCATCATCTCTCGAGTAAAAGAAGTGGTTGAGAGATAAGAGAATCAACTGCACTCAGAGATAGAGAGAGAGAGAGAGAGAGAGAGAGAGAGAGAGAGAGAGAGAGAGAGAGAGACATACCAAGACGTTATTGGCTAAAGTAGGCAAGAGGTCGGAGGAATTAACCACAAAAGAAGTGCTGAAGATATTTGCGGATAAAGCTTTTCCAAGAGCCAGTTTATCACCAGTGATAAGTATCGTTACAGGACAAGATCCTGTTCCTCTGCATGACTTGTCAGGGAGATCTTTGTAGGAAAAGAAATCGGTCTTAACGGAACGGAGTTCATGTTGTGGAATCTGCAACATCGGAGGCAACGGTGGAGGGTTTGGGATGGGACAGATACCACCAGGCAAAGTAACGTTGCCTCCACAATTAGACATATCAGAGACACTCTTCATCAAGGCATCAAGCACTTGTTGAATCGCCAGCAGAATTAAACAGAGGAAGAGTGGAACCAGGATGAGCCGAACATTTGTCCATATGTGTTTCCTCTGCCATTTCAGGGTTCAAGCAATTAGATCGTTCCAAGCTAAACACAAAGATATTCTAAGAAACTTGCCGGAAACGGCAATATCAAAACATACCTGGTAGGTTAAGTTCTTCCTAAGTAACGCATTGGCTTGCGTCCAAAAACTTGCTGGACTAGGATTCACCATTGGCTTAGGTAGTCTCACTTGGTCGTCTTTGTTTTTTTTTCCCTTGCCAGTTTAAGTAATCGTTTCTTCCTTTAAACTTGCGCTTTTTATAGTGCCAATTAAAGTGTGGTTTCAATTAAATGTGAAAAATATTTGAGGTCTGAATTTACACTTTTTTTTTTGCCTTCCCAATTTAAATAATCGTTTCTTCCTTAAAACTTGCGCTTTTTTTTTTAGTGCCAAATAAAATGTCGTGTCAATTAAATATGTGAGGTCTCAATTTTACACATTTTTCAAGCTGGGGATGAAATTTAGTCAACCGAAAAAATTGGAAGCGGATAGTTTTTTTCTTTCTAATTAATATTGGTCAATCCTTTTTTTTTTTTGTGTGTACTGGTGGAAGTGTACTGGCAACAAGACGGGTCGGGATCGATGTGCATCTCAGGACACTCATCAGAGATGCGGGTGCCACAGAATGTTCCGGTGACACGTCCTCCATCACCAGATGCATTAGGACATAAAGGCCTACGACAAGGGGTTCGTGGTGTCGTGATTGATTTATGATTCTAACGATTAATTGATTTTGTTCTTGTTGGAATAAGATTGGGTTTTTCTAATTTAGGATAGGGGTTAAAAGTTGTAGAAGAAGTTTACATTGAGTTTCTTGTTTGTTCAATGTGACAAAAGTATGCACCTTATAAATAGTTGCTGACATTCATAACCTAATTTTCAGTTAAGAAAAGTTACTAGATTGACCCAAATAATGATTTTAATTAATAGAATATCTCATAAAATTAGGAGGTTATATGGGTTATTTTCATGACGATAATATCCTTTTTCTCTTTGTTAGGAAAAAAAAAGTCAAATTTGCCCTCAAATTTTTTCAAAAAACGTGAAAAAAAACTTAGGAAATTTTTTTGGCTTTTTAAAAGTCTGCTGGATTCGTTATGACAGGTTTATTTTCAATGGCAGACTTATTTATCAACGACAGATTTTTTGTGACAGATTTTTTATCTCTCACAGACTTAATTTAACAAGTTATGACAGATATTTATTTTGTTGTAGTTTTTTACTCCACTACAGACTTATTTTTTGATGACACCACAGACTTTTATCACTTTGACAGATTTATTAAAATTAGTGGCAGATTTATGTTTATAGTGGCCTTAGACTTTTTATTTTCATAAAAATATCTGTCATCAAGTGACAGATTTGTTTTTGGAAAAATAATTACTAGAATGACTTAGTAGTGATAACAGATTTTTTTAATGTTATGACAGTTTTTATTTTTTAAACAAAAAAACTGTCGAGTGATAGCAGATTTGTCATACAAAAAAAAAATTACTAGATTGATATACAATCGCAAATGAAATATTTCTGTGATGACAGATTTTATTTACATTACGACAGATTTAGGATTAGTTCAAAAAAAACGGTCACATTACAACAGATTTAGTGATGAAAAAAGAAATTACTGGAATGACTTCATATAGTGATGACAGATATGTTTTAAGCAATGACAGATTTTAATTTTTATTCATATTATGACAGATTTTATATACCTATTTGATGACAGACTTTTCATGATGGACTACATATTTTAAGAATGACAAATCGTAAGTTTTCGTCGGAGTCGCGAAAGTGACTGAGTTTTAATCAATGAGGATGAGAAAAAAAAAATGAGGCTGAGAAAAAAAACGTGAAAGGCAGTCGTAATTTAGGGCTAGTTGTTTTTTTTTTTTTGTTAGGGTTTTGTAATTCTAATTTAAATGTTATATTGTTTGATTTTTTTTTTAAAGCCTAATAAAATTGAATTGGATTTTTGGTCATTTTACCCAAAATTTGTGTTAGTCTAGTAAACTACAAAACTAGGGTGTCAATCTAGTTATTAATCTCTAAATTTGAGTCCAGTAATTTTCAGTTAAAAAAATAGACCAAGGAAATTAAAACTCATTACGTTCAAAAAACGACCACACTTAAGACGAACACCATAACGTTCTTTTATCTTAAAACGACACTAGTCACAAAAGAGTTTTTTTCTTTCTTTTTTCCAGAGAGTTTATTTGATTCTTTCTCTACCAACTTGATTTCTCGTGACAGTCATTTGCAAGCAAATTCAATATTGGCTCGTCAGGCACGATTGCATGTTCCTTTATTTTCCTATGTATCAAGTATATATCTAGGCATTTATGTACCGATTTGGATCCTCTCAAATTCTGTGATAGTGCCTTTGATTTTGATGACAAAAAAAAAATAACATAACACGGTGCAAGCGCAACTCTAGATGACACGGTGAGGTCTCGGACCCTCCTGAATATCTCGCCAATCTCGTTGATCGTTAATCTAGAAGTACTTCACCCGAGCCATTGAAAAGATTCTTTAAGGAGGTATGTATGTATGTACACTCAAGTTTTTTAGTAGCATTGTTTAGTTAGTAAATAATTTAGTGCCTCTGAGCCTTGAACTAATTTTTGCAGCATCTAAAAGTTGAGCCGACAGAAGAAAGCAAAGCTTTCATGACTTTTGTTATCCCACACGACAAAGAGCAACTTTTGACGGTAACCATCTACAAAAGCTTTGATTATATATCTTTTCGATATATATCTTCTTCATCTGATGAATGAATGAGTTATTTTTCCATAATTATCGAGAATAGGGGTTTTTCGGGGAGCTACAAGATAGAGAATCTGAATTTGGCATCTCAGACATTCAGCTCGGTCTTGCCACTCTTGAAGAAGTGTTTTTGAACATAGCTAGACGTGCTGAACTAGAAAGCGCAACTGTTGAAGGAACCATGGTCACTCTCGAGTTAGAATCAGGCATCGCAGTCGAGGTAAATCTACAACGTCCATCAAAATAATCAGTTTCACTGCAGTATTGAGAATTAATTAATAAAGCTATAGTTAATGGACACAAACTAATTAACCTCAATGTTCAGATACCTGTGGGAGCAAGATTTGTAGGTATCCCTGGAACAGAAAACGCAGAGAATCCAAGAGGAATAATGGTGGAAGTGTATTGGCAACAAGACGGGTCAGGATCGATGTGCATCTCTGGACACTCGCCGGAGATGCGGATACCAGAGAATGTCTCAGTGATATATGAACCATCATCACAAGTATTAGGACATGGGCAGCGACGAGTTCGGGGAATTGTGATTGATTATGAATCTAACAATTAACATTCCCTTCTTGGGCAGTTTGGGATCTACATATGTTCTATTTGGTTTACGCTGGAGTTTAAAAACAGTTATGGAGACAATTAGAAAGTTATGTTGTCAAATTTTCACAGTGAGAAAAATTGTTCTGTTTACACTCTTTCAGCAACAGTAACGAGAATCAGTGGCGGAGCCAGAAAATCTATTCATCGGGGTCAAAATATTTTTTTTTTTTTAAAAGATGCATAAAAAATAGCTTCATAAGTCGATATACTAAAAGATGTGAAAGATGTTTTCTTATTTCCACCATCACACAATCAAAAATTGATTAAAAACACAAAGAAAAAAGAAGAAGAAAGTAAAACGTTTTTAGATCAGGTCAAAATAAATGTTAAATATTATATTACTTTATATTTTTTTTTTGTCATCATATTACTTTATATTAATAGGTTTAATTGTAGTAGATTTACTTAAAATAAATTTTATTAGGCTAATATTATCTATAAGTATAGTGTAATTATTGGGTTTGTAACATAATTTTTTTTTATAGGGATCAATATTTTTATTGGATTGGAGTCAATAATTTTTTCATATAAAAATTAAACTATTTTTTAAAATTTCACCGGGGTCAATTGACCCCTATGAATCTTCTCTCCCTCCGCCCCTGACGAGAATAGTAAAAAACAGAATCCTAATTAGGTTAAAATAATGTTTGAGATGGAGAACAAAGTATATATGTACAAGTTGCTTGAGATATTTGAACACAGGTTGGTTGGTAAGTTTACGTGTGTTTCAAGACACATAAATATTGATCCAAAAACTAGCGTGTAAGAAAAGAAACTGAAGATCAACATATGTGGATGTTAATATTTTTCACTTGTGTTACGTAAGGCTGTTCAATAATAGATGTATATAGAGGTAAAGCTTCTGTTTAACGAGTTAAGATTTGTAATATTTTTATAAATATGATTAGTTTATTAGTTTATAATATAGCCAAAAATGTTCTACAGCTCGCTGCTGTTTAACAAAGCAGGGCTGTCTCCATATTGAAAATAATTATTTACATCTTTCTTTACTTTGGAGGCTTTAGAGCTCGCTGCCGTCGTCTATCAGAACAGGGCCGGTTCTATAGTTACCTTTCCCATTTCCGACATTGTTTTCATAATCAATTCCAAAAGGTGCTAGATCAATAGGTTTTCCTTTATTCCCAGAGGCCGTCTTCACGAATAGACCGATAGCTCTAGCCCATTTCACCATAGAACTGATCAGATCTCTTCTCTGTTCAAAAGTTATCTCCTTGGAACCGCTCTTCTTCATCTCAACCAAAACTTTTCCCATTGACAACATACCATCAAGCATCCTCCACGAATCCACCTATATATGGCCAAAAAATAAACGAAACAATCTTAATTTATTTTCATTTTAAATAAAAAATAAACCATATAAATGTTAATGTCTAGTTAGCACTTACTGATGTTCCGCCTTTAGTACCATCCAATAAAATCATAGCCCTGAAGAGCTTCTCAGATTTCACTGACATGTCGTCTTTTGATTCGGGTGATACCAACTTGAAGCAGGCCATGTAGTCCTCCAGCTTTACAAAGAAATCCTGGAACTCTGGTGTCGCAGGACACTTACTCTCTAGGCTACCCAAGAAGTCCGACATACCATTGTAAGCGAAAGGCTCAATGTCTTTGCCCATTTTGGGGGCATTCTTCAAGTAATGGGGTAATGAGAACGTTCCTTGTTTTTCATACATAGCTCTTTTTGAAAAAGGGGATTCTACATGGTTGTCATAGTCGATCCCAAAAGATGCCAGATCAATAGATTGTCCTTTATCTTCAGAGGCCGCCTTCACGAATAGACCGATAGCTCTAGCCCATTTCACCATAGAACTGATCAGATCTCTTCTCTGTTCAAAAGTTATCTCCTTCGAACCGCTCTTCTTCATCTCAACCAAACCTTTACCCATTGACAACAAGCCATCCACCAGCTTCCACGAATCCTCCTATTGCCAAAAAAAAAAAACACAATCCTTTTTCACTTGAAAATGTGACAAACATACCAATATATATATGAATGTTAAACGTCAAACTAAAAACTTACTGATGTTCCGCCGTTACTACTGTTGAAAGCAGACATAGCCTTGAACAGCTTTTCAGATTTTACTGACATCTCGAACAGGTTGTCTTTTGACCCGGGTGATGCCGAATTGAAGGAGGCCATGTAATCCTTCAACTTTTCAAAGAAATCCTTGAACTCTGCGGTTTTAGGACACATACCCTCCAGTTCACCCAAGAAGTCCGATATACCTTTGTTTGCGAAAGCCTCATAGTCTTTGCCCACTTTGGGGAAATTTTTCAAGTAAAGGGGTAATGAGAACGTCCCTTGTGTTTCATAAACAGTGCTTAATGTGACAAGCAACGTTAGACATACCGCTAACGAAATTTTTCCCATTTTTTTTCTTTTTTATTCTTAAAGAGGTACAGGGAAACGACACAGGTGAAAATATTTTTTTATAAATTTTTAATAGTGTCTTGCTTTCTATGGTAACTGGATTTATATAGATGCTTAAAAAGTTTTAAATTGACTATCAAAATGAATAAGAAGAAAATAGTTGATAAATTTAAGGTCGTTAATTAATTAAGAAATGGTAAACGAGATTCGAAGAAATCTCTCTGGATATTCGCTTTTCTCTGGATATATTTTTAGATAGGATAAATTTAGTTAGGAAAAAAAAAAAAAATTTAGTTAGGACATAAATTAGAACATATTGAAATACACCACCTTACAATATTAATGAACCATCTATCTACAGCCTACAGGTCAAAAAAAAAACGATTTTCTTTTGATTTAATCCTCTCGACCCTATAAGGCTTGTGATGTTTTGATGGTTTTCAGTAGTTGATTCACGTCTCTTATTTTAAGACAGGGCCATGATGGTTTCACATATGCATGGCTTCAACAATACATCAAAATATGAATCTGGATGACACCCACATGATTACTGATATCCCTGCAATATCCGATCCTGCAACAGTCCATTCTTCTGTAAACGTAAATATTGAATACTAACTACGTAGAGTGATAAAAATAAGTATAACAACAAATTTTATTTTTGTATGCGGATTGGCTTTGGCTGATAGGAAATGTTTCAAACAGAAGGAAGAAGGGTGACTTATCAATAAGATATCTTCTCATTATATATTATCCCATATAACAATTAAAAAAGAAAAAGATTATAACCAAAGAGATACAAAAAAAAAAAAAAAAAAAAAGAAAAAAACAAAAGGAAGAAGAAGATAAAACGCATTACAACGCACATTATTTATTGTTTACTTGCTCATATCATAGCAAGCTATATATTGATTACAGAAACGACCATATGTTTTCTATGGAAAAAAACATACTCCTTTAACCATTGCATGAACGAGCGGTTGGTGAGGAAATAGTATGAACCAACAATGGTCCTGCAATCCTTCGAGTGCTTCGCAGCAAGCACGTTTTAGATGGCTAAAATCCCAGTGAAGTATACCACCAATGGCATCACTGCACCCTCGGACTTGCTTAATTGAGTTTAAGCAATCTACTAGAAATAGTTCTGTTTCTGCCTTCACACACGAAATATAAACTAGTGTAATGCAAAAGAACATCATTACAACAGCGGCAACTTTTTTGTTCAAACCTATCATTTTGTTTTCTTACGAAATATAGAAATAAAAAGCAAAGATGGTTGTGTTTACATAGGATGTCAATGTTGATTTACATAGAAGAAATTTTAGGAAAGCTCAAAGAAACTTTGGTTGGTAAAACATCAAACTTACCATTCACCCATCTTTAAATGTCTTACGAATTACAAACATTACACAAAACATGTTAAATTCATTTTCAAACCAAACTAATTCAAGTATTCATGTATATATTTTATACAGCATACTAGCAACATTTGCAATAATTTTTTGAGAGGAAAAACAAAAACAATATTAAGTATTGTACGTCTCCATTTTCAAGTTTATTATGATAATATAAAAATTTAAATGTGGCTAAACATAAAGTGTCCCGTAATTTAAAATCGTGTTTGTCGGCGTTATCATCAACAATGTTAACTCTCATCTGAAGCTTGTCATGAACCGTTGGATCTATTCTCTCTCCAAAATATCCAATGGTTGAGAATTTAGAAGTTAACCAAGGTTGGGTTATATGTCTTCATGTGGTAAAGGTAAAGTGGTATTAATTTTTTTGGAACAGTGAAAAAACACAAAAAAGTACCTACTCCTTCCCATGTGCTTAATATGCTCAAACAATCTCACTAAGTACCCCAACATGCCAGGAACCCTTTATAAAATATGTCAAGTCTGTCTTCTATTACAGTTTACTTTTCATTTTTGTGTCTTCGTCACAAATCACACACCAATTAGCTTCTTTCCCTTTCAAAAACAAGTTTTAGTCCAAGATTAAAGTGACTTAAACTTTTTTTTTTTTTTTTTTTTATCAAAAATGAAAAATGCAACAAAAATTTAAGTTTAGAGAGGACTCATAAAAGTACAAGTTCGTTCTTAATCATTTTGTTAAATTTTTCCCTAAACCTTATTTTTGTGGTATTTTTGGTTTATTAGGTTTTAATGGTGGTAGCTTTATAAGAATTGTCCATCTAATTATCATTTCTATTGTTTATTAGTTTCCATGAGTTTTCTGAAACAATGATTTCCATTAGCCAAAATCTCTGCGCAGAAAAATTTAGAAGTTTGATATCATCCAACATACAAATAACCCCCTTATTATCTTAATCTTTAAACCAACAACTAGACTAGAGTTTGCATCTTCCTGTAAGATTCTAACAAAAATTTGGTAGTTTAAAAAGATCATAGATGAATAGTTGGGAATGATAATAAAGTGTAATAGGTGCCCCGTTATAAGAAAATATTTAGGTTCTTAAGTAATGAATGATATACGCGAGAGTCAACTAATAGAGAACCAGTACTAGACGCGAGAGTATAAAAAGAATTCAGCATAAGAATTTTTTTTTAAAAAAGGAACCGACAGTTTACTAAGACTTTAAAGTTTAAACATGGCATATCCATCCTTTTTTTTTTTCCTTTTTTACGAACAACTTTAAACCTTCATCTTGTAATGTTTTAATGAAAAGTAAAAACATTACATGTGTCATATAAGTTAGGTAAAATAAATTCATCAACTAAATATATATACACTACCAAAACAAGTCTAAATAACAAGTATTTATCATGATTGTTAGAGTTTAAAATGAACAGTCACTGCAAGTAACTAAAATACGTCTAAAAAGATTAGGATAGTTCTATGAAAAACAAATTATTAATCAAGGATTAACACCTTGGTGCTAGTCTGTAGAGAACGAGAAGCTAGTCCTGACCGACGGGATCTCCTGATGGTTGGTTTACCACTGACAAGAGGTTTGAGGCACCAACGGGAGAGCCTAAAAGATGTACGGGAGATCTTGATTAATTAGTAGTATGCCACCGACGAGGAAAACTTGATATTCGTTTATCACCGATAGGAAGTCTTGATTATTAGTTTGATTCCTAATTATAATTAGCTTAACACACATATAGCTACGTTTCTTGAGTTTCTTCCAAGATCTAATTTTCCAAAAGACATGTTGGTGGGTAAAACACCAAACTTACCATCAATCCATTTTTAAATGTCTCATACAAACATTATGTGAAAACATGTTAAATTCATTTTCAAACCAAACCAAATCAAGTAATCATCTCTATATTATTTTCTACATCATTTTGTATTCCTCCAACACTTAAAATAAATTTTTTAGAGGGAAACAAATTAAAAACAACAATATTAAATAGGGTACTTCTCAAAATTCAATTATGATTAAAAAAAATTAATATAAAAATTTAAATTTGGCTAAACATAAAGTGTCCCGTAATTTAACATGATGTGTTTGCTCTAGAGCATATGCCACAAACCTTCGCAGAAATCTCTGCTATCGCAACTCTACCTCGACACTAAAGAACTATTAACAAGATGGTGGTAAGTTTGCGTGTGTCTCAAGACATAGAATTTTGACCCAAGAAAGAGAAACCTATAACTGTAAAAATAGCTTTTAAGACAAGGAAATGAAGGCTTGAGCAGTTCTAGCAACTTTGATGAAGACATCTTCGAGAGTTGTGTCCGCGAGTCCCCAGGCAAAGACTGTGAAGGATGATTTGGCCTTTTCAACAGCGCGAAACACCTCAGCAATCCGAACCTCTTGCTTTGGGAGCTCGAATTTCTGAGTACCAGCAAGGTGATATATCTTCTTGGCGTTGGGAGAGATAGATTCAACCAATCTCTCTACCTCTTCCTCATGATTTGAAGATGTTGTCATCGTGAAGACATATGATCCACCGTATCTGCTCTTCAGTTCCTTAGAGTTTCCTATGCATTGCAAGCCTCCGTCTACAAAAATTCCCAATCTATCGCATAGAAATTCGGCTTCTTCCATCGAGTGAGCTGAAAATATTGTCTTAACGTTAATATTAAGTATAATTTAGGAGGCAAATAATATTCCATAAGTTGAGAAACTAATATATGTATACTTGTGAGAATTATTGCTGTGTTTTGTTTTGCACGCTTGATCACATTCCATAAATTCTTCCTCGAGGCTGGATCAAGTCCTGTGCTTGGCTCATCTAAATAAACCACCTATTTTCGAGAGACCTTGAGTTTGTTAATAATTAACTTTAGAGAGACATAATCACTCAACTAACAAGAATGTACGTACCTTGGGGTTCCCGATAAGCGATATGGCCACGCTAAGCCTCCTTTTCATACCTCCACTGTAATTACCAGCAGGTTTGTCGCCAACTCCTCCATCGAATAGGCTGACACT